ACACATACTACATGTACTGTATGTATGTGTTGCTCACTATTATTTTTTATTAGACTTACAAACTTAGTTTCAGTGATGTCATATTGTTCTTTAACTTAGCCGGAATAGCAAGCTGCTTTCGATCATCACACGTGCCATTTAATTTGTGTATTACACAAATCTTTCCACGAAACAGACAGTTTTAAGTGCAAAAGGTGCGAAAGTGCAGAATCACTCCAGCAACCCCTTAATGTATTAAACAGTTTTAGAATTATGTTCTACTAATAATATATTGATATAGATTTAGAACTTCTCACGTACCCTTCAACACAGTGTGCTGCGGTTAACACGTTACGGTGATTCAGGATAGATCCACCGCATCTATGCTTGCCGGCATATTGCAACGAAACTTGATATGGAAATTTGCCGACGGGAGCAGCCTTACCGCCGATGATATGAGGAGACGGTGCTCCTTATTGACAAAAATTAATTAATCGCATTAATATACGCAAAATAATGTCTCTTACATAATTACATACATCTTTAATAATAATAATTAAACATCGATATTTTATAGTTGAGTGAGCTGTTTAGAAATGTTACGGATGTACTCAGAATAAAATAAAGAGATAGATAGGTAAGTAGATAGATTAAATATATAGAGCAACTGTAACTAGTTACTTTTATAAAGTAACTTTTCAATCCTAATATAAAGTAATTACTTTCCGATCTGAACAAAGGAGTATACAAAATTGGGAAAATTTGTACAAAACCAATCGTCATGAAACTTGACACAGACATAGTATGAGGTAAAATATTAAGAAATCTAATTTAAATCGAATGGCTAAATGACTGGATCCTGGTCAAAAACCAGAAAATGGGTCTAGTGGGCTGTGTGGCGGCAGTGCCCATTTGCTACTTATACAACCTCACTTTGGCAATAGAATAACGTTGTTCGTGAATGGCCCCTCACAAACACTGCAACTTTGCCGGCTACATGAATGGAAACTACGTGCCTAGTTCATATAATTTCACAATATAGACGATTAGTGATTGGCAGGATTTTATTCATTTCCTTTGTCTTCTTCGTCGTTGTTGATGATTCTGATAAAGATTATGCAGAAAATATCTTTATCAGAATCATCGACAACGACGAAGAAGACAAAGGAAATGGATAAAATCCTGCCAATCACTAACCGTCTATTTTGTAAAATTATATGAACTAGGCACGTAGTTTCCATTCATGTAGCCGGCAAAGTTGCAGTGTTTGTGAGGGGCCATTCACGAACAACGTTATTCTATTGCCAAAGTGAGGTTGTATAAGTGGCAAATGGGCACTGCCGCCACACAGCCCACCGGACCCATTTTCTGGTTTTTGACCAGGATCCAGTCATTTAGCCATTCGATTTTGATTAGATTTCTTAATATTTTACCTTATACTATGTCTGTGTCAAGTTTCATGATGATTGGTTTTGTACCACAAAATTTTCCCAATTTTGTATACTCCTTTGTTCAGATCAGAAAGTAATTACTTTATATTAGGATTGAAAAGTTACTTTATAAAAGTATCTAGTTACAGTTGCTCTATATATTTAATCTATCTACTTACCTATCTATCTCTTTATTATGGTAAAATATTTATGGTATAATAATGATATATTTATAATAATTTATGAATTCATACCTTGAATGGTGCATACCAGAGCGATAAATACGAGACAAGCTAACGCACGCATGTTTTCAAATTTGTCGACTGGAGTTGAAACGAATAGATCCGTTGCAATTTATATATTTCTGAAGTAGTTGAAAGACTGATATCAATCACGTGGTTATGACGTTATTCTGAATTTTTTCAATACGATATCATACGATAAAATATTGTCCATATACCATATGCTCTTATAGTAGGTAGATAAAAATGATAGTTTTAATTAAATTTATTGCACTTTTCACCTCATAACTTTTCTCAGAAGAATTGACATTTACGTCCGCTTTATCTGATGATAATCTCATGGTCGATTTGCTTTTCTCGATTACTGTATCTGTCATTTGAGTCCACAATATCATCAATAGATTGCATGTCACATACTTCCCAGCAAATACAGTTACATAACTGTTACATTGCCATAATAAAACGGATTGTAACAGGTAATATATCGTGTGTGTTACATATAACGCACACGTTAGTTGTAATTTCCCACTTATATGAAATGTTGCAATTATGTAACTGTAATATAACGTATAACAAAAATGTTATATAACTAACGTGGTAATATAACTGTTATACAGCAGTTATAAAAATCATTGAAATGTTATATTATTGTAATTTAAGTTATTTCACTGTTACGTAACAATTTATTTAATTCGAGGAGCTAATATTTCTGATGAATTACAAAAAGTATATTATAATTATACATATAATTCTGATAGCTACAACACAGAGAGAAATGACTTGTCGATTGATGTCGAATCGACGAAAAATTTATCGCTGGAAATAGCTGATCTCTGACTGCTATTATACTAACGTGTTTGCTCCTTTTTATAAGGCTTTATGCTAAATTTTACTTTCGAGTAAAAGTCATATACCAGTGAAAGTAGGTACTGTGTATATAAAAATTTATATAATATTTCAATAACATTAACATAATTAATATAAAGATACAAGATATACAATAGGTAGAAATAAAAGAACAAAGCAGTACACACAAATGATGATGCGCCAACAAAACTATTATTATGAAGCTTATCAGTAGTAATAGTAATGTGAAAAAATGGACACGCGCAAAATAGATACACGAATTTTAGGTGCACATAATCAAGGGGTCTACACCTCAAAAACTGTACACCTATCGCCGAGTGCGATAGATTCCTTGCACACAATGCAGAGGTGTCCATATACATCCACTTATACGCGCAAGACAAATACATATGATCTGCATTAGTAAAAATAACATGCATCTATAAACTATGGATTCGCGCGACGCAGTGATATATTCGAAGAAACGTGTACACAAAAGAAATCTAAAAAAGAAATAGTTAAAAGATTTTAGTATAGAGAGAAGCGGAGAAAGTAATGAAACAAAAAGTCACCATACGAAAAGAAGATAAAGAGGGGGACGATTTTACGAAAAACGGCAGTTTATATTTGACAGCACAATAAGAAAAGATAGCACTTAGAACTTAGTGGAGAGATACAAGGGAAAGATTATACAATCGGTTAGGTTAGGTAAAACAGATATCTGGTATGTTAGAGGAGTGGCACTCGGTGTTCCAGTGTGGAAAATATCGTAGATAAGGAGGAAAATGTAAAAGACAAAATACAAGGCAACACAAAATGTGCTTCAATTTGAAGAAATTTTTATAAACAGAAAATAATACGTTTTTAAAAAGAGTATTCTTAGATATATGTAATTGGAAAGCCTCTTATTACTATCATATTCGAAATTATACTTACAATTCCCCATCCGGATAACGTGCAAGATTCAGCTTGGGAGAATACATGCATTTATATATCAGTGCCTCAGAGGCCGACTGCGGGAGGTCTACCTCTCTCTTGTTTTTCAAAAACAAGATTTTTACATCTTATGAATGAACTTGTCAAATTCTGTTAGTACTGAACAGTGTAATGTCAACAGTTTTGCAGATCATATCAGCCGTTAGATAGTGATATATCATTGTTAAATCCTCTTTCTTATCAGAGGTGAACTATGTTTCCGCTCTTGATTTTGAATATCATTAAAATGTTTGAGTATACATATAGAAGATTGTCAACGGAAAAATATTCCTCCCCATGAGATAATAAAGTTCTAGTTCTATTGTTATGTTTGTTAAATGAAAGTTTTTTTAGACTTCTATAAATCTATATAATTCAACTAGTAGCATCACATTGTGCAATTGCCTCGCTGCTCGTACATCATTTCATACGCACTTTGTATCATTTATATCTTGATATATGATCTAATTCACCTTAACTTTGGATTATTCATATCTTGATATGTGATATCAAGATATGAATAATCACATATTACGATATAAATAATCCAAAGTCAAGATATGAAGTGTTAGTGCATTAACACTATCGACGCGCGACTCACGGACAGGTTTCCGTTCAACCGTAATGTATGATTGGCCTGTTTTGAACCTTTTTATCTAAAAAAAACTACTGCTCGGAACGAAAAATGGCAAATAACTTTTTAATTTATTTTTTCGACGACTTTCTTCCTATGGTATTTTGATTCGCGAATTTCAGGACACCCTGTATA